AACATTTGAAGGGCTGCCATGTGAAAGAAGTGTTACATTTGTTCTTTTGGACCCAAACTAGGATAAAAACAGCAGAGACAAATTTTGGATTGACAGCAGGAAAATCCTTCTAACAAATGGTGCTATCAGAGTAGAATGAGTTGTGTTGATCGACATTAGGTTCTCCTTAATCAAGTATCATCAAGTAGGAACTAAATGGCCCCGTATTGAACACTATGATAGTGGGGATTCTTTTGTGATAGGAGGTTGTAGTAGATAACCACAGAGTTTACTTTTGACTCTAAAAATTCTGTGATTCTAATGTTAGAGATATGAAGTAAAATTAATGTCTCAAATATCTCTTTTTGAATGGTTCATTTGTTAACTTCTTATTCATTTCAAATCATTTTTAAAGTCATGTTTCTTAATTCTTCTTTAAAAACTAAATTTCCTATACTTTTAAGAAACTGGGTACTAAGTGATTAGATTTTCATTATCTTGGCATTAAGGCAAAATCAGCAAAAGAATATTTAAAAAAAGAAAAAAAAGAAACTTCCATTGCCCTTTCCTAATCATTAGAAACTAACCTTTTTTTTATTAATTCCTTTCTACTAATTCAGATTGAAAGAATTCACAGATCATCTCCAGAAAAAGAAAAAAAAATACCAAATACTGCAAACTCCAAGTGGTTAAATTCATCAATTCAATTGATATTGTAAATTATTTTTACAATAAGTTCTGCAACAAGTTCTGCAAACCATCAGGAGAAAGACCTTCAAATACAAAGGGAAGGACTTTCAAATAACACAAGACTATTCTGCACCCACTTGAAAATGTAGGAGGAAATGAAATAATGTGTTCTAAAGATCACTGGCATTCAGGATACAGACCAGGGTGACCTATCCTGCAAGTCTAGGCTTAATCATGTAGGACAAAAGATGGACATTCAGTAATAAAGTGACACATATTTAGAAAGAAAACCAGCACTGATGAGATTATTTGTCTCTCAAACACCCCAAACAATAGAAACACAGGAGAAGTGAATAAATGCAGCAGACAAGGACAGTAACAGCAACGAAATGACAACAGGGAGACCAGTAAGAGGCTTTATTCCAAATGTACACAAGAAGACAGGCAGAAATCTACCAGATGTAAGAGTGAAGGAACAGATTCAGTATTATGGATAAAACTTGGCAATACCTCACCTACAGGGGAATGCTTCTGTTATGGGACTACATTACAACCTAAGAGGGTACATAAAGGGAGCAGGGAAGAAAAGAGGGAAGGAGAAGAGTGAGTGATGCACTGAAGTCAGTGAAGAACTGGCAATGAGGGGAAGGTGATGTAATCTCAGAAAGAGAAGAGCCTACAAAGAAGTGGTTGGGGAGGGGGAGAGGATTAAAAAGGAGGGGAAAAAGAAAGAGGTCTTTCAAAGTGGTAGGGGGTTTCACTGTAGAATGCTCCTATGAGTGAAAAGAGATAGTTCATAAAAGATGAGGACCTTACATTGGATGAAGCCTGGGAGATTTAGTGCTTGAAAAGTCTACTTGTCTTGGAAAGTGGGAGAGGGGGAGTTGAAACCTCTGAGGACAACTAGAACCTGGAGGAGAGTTCCAGACAAATGTAAAAAAAAAAAAAAATCAACAAGAGAGGATATAGATCAGTGGTGGGCTGCTGCATAATCAGGTTTGTGGTGTGGGAGGGCCCTAACAGGGGGCAGTATCCTCTCTGACACTTGCAATAATTGTCATTATTTTATAAATGAGGCACAATGGAAAAAGGCAATCCTTGAGACAAGTCTTACTGATAGTGACAGAAAGTGCATGAAGGGGAGTGCCTAGAATGGATACTTTGGAAGTTTTGCTAGCATGAAGAATATAGAGAAAAGAAAGAGACAGATAAGTATCATGCAGCATGATTAAGAGAATGAGGGTATAGAGTAAACAGAAAGAAGAGATGGATAATGAAGAGAATGAGAGAAATACTTTTTTGGAAAGAGGTGCAAAAATTGAATGGGAGGAGTGGAAGGGAAGATATCAAATGAGAAGAGGGCATCAGAGGTGTGGGGAAGAGAGCCAGTGGGAACAGAGATACTTTAAAAAAAGATTAAAGTGAAGTAACTGAAGGAACATAATACTGTGTTTACAACAGAAGAGGAAACTTGAAACCAAAAAGCTACTGCACAGACAACATTAATGTATCTAGGATAAGGAGGGAAATGATAGAATGGGGAAAAAATATTTGTGTCAAATTTCTCTGGTAAGGGTTGGGTGTCCAAGATATATAAACAATTATGTATATTATAAATATATATGTGCACAAATATATGCACACATATTAAAAAATTTAATAGCCACTCCCCAATAGATAAATGTTCAAAGGATATAAACAGTTCTCAAAAGAATTGCAAAGTATTCACAACCAACTAAAAATGTTCCAAATCACTAATAATAGGACATATGCAAATCAAAACAAACCAGGGATTTTATCTTATACCTTCCCAAATTCAAATTGACAAAAAATGACCCAAAAATGGCAATAGTCAAGGTTGGAGGGGTGGTGAAAGGATGGACACACTAATACATTGTTGCTGGAGTTATGAAATGGTAAAGAATATTTTGGAAAGCAATTTGGAATATGCAAATAAAGTGACTAAAATGTTGATACTCTTTTGACCAGAGACTCCATTACTTAGCTTGTTCCCCAAGGAAGCTATTGATAAAGAAAAAAATATCCATATACTGCAAAATATTCCTAGCAGCACTTTTTGTGATACCCACCAATTGAGGAATAGCTAAACAAATTGTGGGATATTGTCATGTAAGAAATCATATGTGTAGTGAATACATAAAAGCATAAAAAAATCTACGAACTGATGCAGAGTGAAGTATGCAGAACCAAGAAAATAATATAAATGGTAACTACAACAATATTAATGGAAACAACACACACACACAAAAATCAAAAGTAAATGCAACATAATTACAAAGATCAAAGGAAATTCAAATGAAGAGATATGAGAAGACACCCCTAACCTACCCCTTTGTGGAGATGGGACATCCACTGCATATGTTGTTGGACTTTCTCAATGTATTGATCAGTTGTGATGACTTTTCTTTTTCTATTTGTCATATGGGATGGCTGTCTGGGAGGGAGAAGGGTACATAGGATGCTATGGTGATGGAAGATACAGAAAACATCAATAAAAACTTATTTTACAAAACAAATAAAATACATTGAAAAACATTGGGAAGCAGGTAGGTATTATGAAGGATAAAGTGTTGGGCCTGCAGTCAGGAAGACCCAAATTTAAATATGGCCTCAGACATATACTAGCTGTATGACACTGTGCAAGTTCCTTTAAAAAAAAACAATCAAAAATCTGTTTTTCTTAGCTTTCCCCAAATGGGGGTGATTTAAAGATTTTTTGAAGATGAAATGAGATAGTATTTGTAAAGCACTTAGCACAGTGCCTGGCAATGCTTTCCACCTTCTCCTTTTCATCACAGCTAGACCATTATAATAGTTAGTGAGTAAATAGTTATGAAAAATGTGTTTCATGTTACAAACATAAAGTGCTATGGAAATGTTAAATAATAAAGAACTATAAGACTTATCATTCTATTTAGTTCTGCATTAAGGTCCAATCCCTCGTCAAACTTGCTTTATTAAGATGCAGGCGAACTTCACCCCATTTGAAAGGGTTACAATCTAATTTTACTGTGGTTTTGTACTTAGAAAAATGGATATGGAGACAGTGATAAGGCAATGAATAATAGGTTCAGAAAGATTAATTGGATGACTATAATTCAGTCTAAAGTTCTAACTATATTACAAAGGTTTATGAGATCATCGGAACTCTTGGAACTGAATTATATCTTCTGTAATCAGTCTTTCCTCTTTCTCCATTCCCATTTATATCACATGTAGAAAATGCATGTTTTTGAGACCATAAAACAATTTATTGAGGACATGTAAAGGAAATCATTTAGGATTTTTATACTAGACAGGTTAAAGAAAAAATTGCAATGCATCAAACTAGCAAGTATAAAAACTACAGAGACTTAAGGGTCAATTTCCTGCTAAGCTGTTCTTTTATCAAAGGCAAAAGGAGGCAACCAGTCCATCATGAAATATAATATATCCAGAATGGGAAGGGACCTGAGAGGCCATCTAGTACAAACTCTTCATTTTGCAGATGAGGAAACTGAGGTTCAGGGATCTTAAGGGACTTGCCCAAGAAGGGACTTGCCCAAGATCACATAGTAAACAACTATCAGTGATGTGTCTTGAACCCCAGTTTTCAGACTCTAGAGACAATATTCACATACACTCAACCACATACACATGCACACACACACGTACAGAGTAATTACTGAAATTTTACAGAATTATGTCTGACAAATTGACAAGTCCCTGGCAATCCCCCCATTTTGGCTTCTTAATTTCCCTGGTGGGACAGCTAGGTGGTACAGTGGATAGAATGCCAGGTTGGTGTCAGGAAGACTCATCTTCCTTAGTTCAAGTCTGGCCTCAGACAATTCCTTGCTGTGTAACTCTAAGCAAGTCACTTAACCCTGCTTGCCTCAGTCTCTTCTTCTGTAAAATGAGCTGGAGAAAGAAATGGCCAACCACTCCAGTGTCTTTCACAAGAAAAACCTAAGTCGAGTCATAAAATGTCAGATACAACTGAAAAACAACTCAACCACAAAATCTCCCTGGTGCTAAATGTCTCCCTGACATATGCTTTCCCCAAATATCTCAAGCTTTGCATCTTGGCTCTCTGCAGTCACTCCATATCATCAGCCAAAGTTGGATTTATTCTTATTTGCAGCCTAACAATCCAGCTATAAGCAAGATGTGACACTGCTAAATCTGGTTAAAAATATATGAATGGTTAGATGTAATAAAATAGAGTTTAGTTTATAAAAATCCCTCCCTGTACTTTATGTCAAATAAAATTAACTAGTTCCATAACTCAGATAAAAAGAAATCTCCACATAGAAATGGATATATCTTACTTCAAATGGGAGCTCCGTTAATTCCAGATTTCCAGACAAATCCAATTTCTCCAGATTTTCACAGTCTCCTAATTCTGGAGGAACACTCTTCAGATGGTTGAAACTCACATTGAGTTCATTCAGGCTCTTCAAATAACCTGTTGCCATAGAATATCGCCATCAGTTGAACAGGAGTCATTTGAAAGAAACAAAGACATTTATGAAACATTTGAATGAAACATAATAATAATTGTAAAGGGAATTAAAATTGAATAGTCTATGTATAAGCAGAAAAAATATGTGATTTCCCATGTATTTTGCCTCTTGATCAAAAATAATCAAGTAATTTTTCATTGTTTCATGTTATATGCCTTGTTTTACCTTCCCAATGAGATTATATGAACCTTCAAAGTAGGGAATATGCTTTCTTATTGTCCTATATCCCCACCTCAGCATCAAGCACAGTATTAGCCTTATTGTAAACCCTAAAGCTATAACTACAATGGGCCAACTAAGGCTTTGCTCCAAAGCACCAACATTTAGAGGAAATAAAAATTATAAATAAGTATTTGAAAAGATTCAGTAATTTAAAAATATGTTACATTTACAAATTGACAGCACATATATCTCTTTAAAAGCATAGAAACAACTGAATTTAGGACCTAGTTAGCAAGAAAAATTAGTTAAAATATGAAGCAACCAGTCACATTATTAATAAGATCCATGTATGCGCCTATAATAACTAATTCCCTCTCCAGATCACATGAATTTGCCTTAATTACTTCTTGAATCATTTTCACCTCATATACTGCAAAATTGATGAGAGAATGTCTTATATTACTTTTTGGGGGGATGTTATTTGTTTCAGCTACCAAAAGTGATAAACATTCAGAACATGTCTTTTGAATTGAGCTGAATTTATAAAAAAAAATAAGCAACTGCATTCAATTTATTAAATTAATTTTGTTTACATTCAATAAACAGTAAGAGCTTACTTTGCAGCATTTAATAGAGGCAGCTTGATGTAATGACTTGATGTAATAATGTAATGACTGATGTAATGTAATAGGAAACCCTATTTTCAAATCCTATCTCAGACACAGAATGGCTATAGAACACTGGACACATTCTGAGACAATCCAGCCACAAAGTAGGCTCCCATCTACATTGGTTGAGAGTTATTTTTATAATAACTATGTATTTATGAGAGAGACAGAGACAGAGATAGATGAAGACAGACCGAGACAGAGAGACAGAAAGACAGAGAGAGACACACACAGAGACAGAGAGAGAAAAGAAACAGAGAGAGACAGAGAGACAGAAACAGAGAAAGTGAATATACATAGATGTGTTTTGTGTCCAAAAAGTCTCAGTGCAGCCTTAAGTTTTAGTAACTTTTGGGACAACCTGGATAGGGCCCATATTATTCTCCAGAAAAGACTGAGGAAAATGCAAAATGTCCCTGCCCTCATGGAGTTTACAGTCTAGTAGAGGAATGTCTCATACATTGATAGCTAAAATTACACTGAGATGCATTATAAATATATTAAGGAGGGTCTTTTTAAGGTGCTATACAAGTATGGGATGATAACAATGATTATCAAAAAGGGTAAGAAGAAGAAATCTAATTTCCTTGTCCAGTTTGCTTTTCAAAACTTCACGGAAGATAATGGAAGTTATAGTTAGTTAATTTCAAACTCCTGCAACATTTATGGATTTTCCAGGGACATGTGGAATTTAATTTCTACTTCAGTTGAAGTTCTAGAATTTTATAAATGTTTTCATTACCATAAGAGGGAAAAAAAAACAAAAAAAAAAATCAAACAAACCAAAAAAACTCTCCCACCAGGTTATTATGTATATTCAGAAGAATTTATAAGGAAATATGCATTCTAATTCAACATTAGATAAATAGTCATAGATGTATTTTCAGATTCATATCCCCAATTCAAAACATATCTATAAGCAGCAGGGGTACTTAGCTCTACAAACCATAGTAATGTACAAAGTAACTGGGACAAAGTATAATAATTAAATTCTTTTTTTTTTTTTTTGGTGAGGCTATTGGGGTTAAGTGACTTGCCCAGAGTCACACAGCTAGTAAGTGTTATGTGTCTGAGGCCAGATTTGAACTCGGGTCCTCCTGACTCCAAAGCCAGTGCTTTATCCACTGCACCACCTAGCTGCCCCTAATAATTAAATTCTTATACAGTGAAGCTTACAACTTTTTATATCTTTAAAGAACTTTTAATATGCAATATTGCAGCTAGGTGGCACAGTGAATAGAGTGCTGGGGCTGAAGTTAAGAACTTGCTATTTAGACATTTTTCAGTTGTGTCTGACTCCTCAAGACCCCTTTTGGGGTCTTCTTGACAAAGATACTGAAGTCATTTGCCATCTCCTTCTTCAGCTCATTTTGTAGATAAGGAAACTAAGGCAATCAGGCTTAAGTGATTTGCCCAGGGTCACATAGCTGGTAAGTCTCTGAGGCTGGATAGAAGAAGAGTCTTCCTGACTACAGGCCCAGTACTCTATCCAAAGAAGCATGACCTGAGTTCAAACTCAGCCTGGGCAAGTCATTTAACCTCTGACTGTCTCAGTTTCTTCATCTGCAATATGAGGATTATACCACCTACTTCACAGGATTGTTGTGAAGATCAAATGAGATAATATTTGTAAAGCACTTTTGCACATTGCATGGTACATAGTTGGCACTTAATAAATGCTTGTTCCTTTCTGCTCTTCAAATATATCTTCCATTGAATATTGTGACTAATTGATTAATAATTAATCATCAATTAATTAAATAATAATCACATAAATATTGTAATGTCAAAATTAATCATTTTACATGATTTGGTAATGAGAAAGAAGTCACAATATTTTGATATATTCTTTTATTCTTTATCAAGAAACCACATTGTTTACACATTTTTATTATAAATGTTTGAGAGACAGTCCAGTCTTGATTACTATACATAGGATTTTAATGGGATGTAAATCAGATAAATTCTGAGACCATTGAAGCATATTTTTCTCTGTCCCTTGGATAAATTTCTTAATCTTTCATGACATGTGGCATGGTAGAAGTTTGTGTTAAGGTATTACATCTCCATTTGGGAATTTCTATAATTTTGGAACAGTTTTGTTTCTCAGTTTACTAATATGATTTGTCTTTCAATAGGGACAAGTTTTGAAAGCTCATAATTAAAAAAAAAAAACAAAACCAGACATGTTTTTGAGTGAGTGTTTATGTTTAATTGTCTTCTGTTAGTTGTTTTGGTATACCCTTGAATGAAAAACTGACTTTCATTTGTATAAATTTTTGTTGTTCCTAACTTGTTTCAGTCATGTCTGACTCTCCATTACTCCATTTGGGATTTTCTTGGCAAAGATGCTGGGGTGGTTTGCCATTTCCTTCTCTAGCTCATTTTACATAAAAGAACTAAGACAAACAGGGTTAAGTGACTTGCCCAGGCGCACACTTTAGTAGGTCTCTGGGATCAGATTTGAACTCATGTCTTTCTGACCCAAGGAACATTGGTCTGGTCACTGAACCACCTAGCAGCCTCCTGTACTGAGTTCTAGGAAGACAAAAAAAAAGGCAAAAGACAAGCTCCTCAAGGAGCTTGAGACAACATGCAAGCAAATGTAAACAAAGCAAGATATATACAGGATAAATAGGAAATAATTAATAGATGGAAGACATTAAAAAACAAACAAATAAAAGGAGACCAAGAAAGTCAATAAGTAGAGTTGAGGAGGGAGAGCATTCCAGGCATAGGGGATAGCTCAAAAAATATGTTTGGATTGGTGAGATGGAATATCTTACTAGTAGGACAGCCAGGAGGCCAGTATCACTATATCTTAGAGTACTTGATGAGGAGTAATGTATAAGAAGACTGGAAAGGTAGGAGGGGGTTAGGTTATAAAATATTTTGAATGCCAGAGAGCATTTTGTACTTGATCCCAGAGGCAACAGTGAGCTGCGAAAGTTTGTTAAGTAGGAGAGTGGTATGGTTAGACTTAAATCTTAGGAAAATCACTTTGGTGGCTGAGTGATGGAGTGAGGAGATAATTGAGGCAGGCAGACCCATCAGCAGGCTACTACAACAATCCAGACATAAGGTGATGAGGATTTGCAGTGTCAAAGGAGAGGAGGGAGTGTATATGAATGATGCTACAGAGATGAACTCAACATTTTGATAACCGCTTGGATATGGGTATTGAAGAATAGTGAGGAATCCAAGATGACTTCTAGCTTGTGAGCCTAAGGGACTAGGAGGATGTTGTTGCCTTCTAAAGTAACAGGAAAGGTAGGAGGCTGGGAGGTTTTAGGGGAAAGAAGCAAGCAGAGTACAGTGCCTATTATTAGATAGGCATGAGGAATGTCAATTCTGAAAACAAATGATCAAAGAATCAAAGAGTTAATGCAACTTCTGTGAACTCTGAAAATACCAAAGAGCTCACACAGGTTATCACAGCCATTGTTAACTCTGAAAAATAAAATAAAATAAAACCAAAATAAAACCAAAGAGCTAACAGTGGTCATCAGCAAAAAGCTTTCTTAATTCTATTGGAGGAGGGGAATTAGACACACATGCAGGAACCTCCTCTGATACCAAGGAGATTGGCTTTAGTGTGGGAAAATCTCAGTACATATACTAGTGGCTACACAGTTAGCTGTAGACCTGACAATGAGGGGTAACAACAACGAGACAAGTTTGATTCATAGCAGGCCTTCGTGACTGGAACATTGGTACTGCTAGTGTGAAACAATTCTGGGTTTTTGTTGCAGCTGAGTTCATCCAGAGGGTGAGTACAAAATATTGTTGTGTCAAGCTCAGGGCACAGCTTGCTTACCAGGACTTAGTTCTGGAAAACAGGTGTCTGCTAATAGTAAAAAGAAAAGGGTGGTCTTGGCATGGGGATGCTGACAGAAAGTAAAATTGGTAAGAAAGGAGATGTTCAGGAACTTCCCTTCAGTCCTTGAAATTCAAGTTCTCAGTTCTGAGATGCCTGCAGAGACCCAAAGACCACCTCCTTCTCTCCCTCCTCTGTCACAGTTCAACTCTTCTTTCAGTTTCCTTTTCACCTTTTGGTAATTCAGGCTTCACAATTTTACTTGTGTTATCCAGGCTTTACATACAATTCAGTC